AAAGAAAAATTATACCAATAGTATCCTGTTCGTTGATCACCATTAAGTTCGTGGCACCAGGCATTACACCATTGTGACCAATGAAACGACGGCCATCAGGCATTGTTTGCCAGTTCCAAATGAGACCATATTTTGGAGGTGGTAGTGGCGATTGATTACTGGGTGAGTGAAGATTTTGGTAAGGAACGACACCGTCAACCGATGTTCGTATTTCAACAATTGAATGAGGATGCAATAAAGAAGATCCATTGTTCATAAACATGCGTAGAAATAAAGACAAAGAAACAGCTGACATTCGCATAAGACCGGAAGGATAGTCTGGTATGCTAAAGAATGGAATGTGAAGCCAATTAGTAACATTGCTCTACAACAAGGCTCAAATTTAATATTACCATATAGTTATTGTCCTTTATACATTACTTGCGTAACATCTAACTGTGGTAATTGTCGCCTCCATTCTTTCAAGTAGGATGCATTGAATGCATAATGTTCAACCAATCTTTCCTTATGATGAATATCTGAAAGCCGAAAACCTGCTTCGCCAACTTTGATATCAAGCGGATTTAAAATTTTTTCTCTGACATAACGTTCGTATGGCATTTTCGTTATTCGTTCGACAATCAATGCAGCAAGAGATGCGCCAATATTTGAATAGAGTGATACAGTGCCTGGTACTTGTGGTAGTCAATTCGATGCGTTAGGATTTAAATACGTAAAACATCTATCAGCCAACGATGTCTTTCCTAATGCGGCATCACCAGGTTGTATTGAAGCGAATGGCATTTCACCATTTGTATCAATGGATGCTGAATGTGAAAGTAATTGACGTAAAGTAATTCTATGAGAAGGATAGAGTGGATGAAATATTCGTGGATCAGTGGATAATAGATAATAATTTATATCAGTATCCAGATCAGTCAGATTCTCTTCGACAAGTTGCATGACAGCAACGGCAATGAATGTTTTAGATATTGAAGCTAGAACGAAGATAGACTTATCCAAATCGATAGACTGTGATGGAGAAAAAGTGTGATGGCCGAAAGCTTGTTGGTATAGTATATCAGTTGCATTGACTACAATGATTGCAGTTCCTGGAATCTGAGTATCGGCTAGAGACTGTTCAATAGACGATCGAGTTCGACAGTTTTTGGTTGTAGCAGTAGCAGTTAAAAGAGCAAACAACAGTAAAGTTAGTAACGACATGATTGTTTGACTGCATTTTGAAGAATACAAACTTTTTATTCAAAAAAGAAAATATCACGTATTGTTTGAATTCGAATTAAGTGTCAGTCTTTACTATGTGCAAAATTTCGATCTTTTTTCTTTCTTCTAGGTACGGACTGAGAATATTGGGCTTAAGAAGTAAAGGTGAAATGAATGTGTACGTGAGACGATATTTATCTCTTTGGTTGTTGAGTATTATCGTAGATGTCAATATGAGTATGAGTATGACTGATCGTGTTGTTCTTCTACCATGATTCACAGTCGACATCGTATTAAACATTATCTACTTGTAATTTTTTTTAATCCTTTGTCTGATTTTTGTTTAATTCATCTAAGTAGTTTCAATAGTTATAAATCACAACCACTTTTAGTATAAAAAAATAATTATTGATCACTATTATCCATTTCAAAATAGAAGAAGGGTGGTTGTTTTTTTGAATAATTTTTTAATTGAAATAGCTATCAGTCTACGATTTTCACCATTTGATAGAGGTGGGCATTCTGCATCTTTCTATAGATGATTAAAAATGTCATCTGATGATTCTGATGAATGGTGAATAAAATTTAAAGCAATACCTACGGTGCTATAAAAGTTATATGGAATTTCAATTATAAGGAGTGCATTAGATTCACTTGCTCAAGATCTACAGTTTTACACAAACCCGAAATTTTTATTTTGTTTTGTTCAAAACTTATACACCTCACATTGATAATGAAAAAACGCTCGGAACACCGTTTTTTCGCTAGTTTTTAAAGTTTTTATAATGCGATGTCTATGAGTTTTGGACCATGCTGTATCAAAGGAAACTGTTTGTATTGTAACAAAGTCATTCTTTGTCATGTAAAGCCAGCGCTGATTATTTTACATCACAGATTAAATATCCTCGGCACAAAGTGTTATGATATAACATACTCCTACAAGTTGAATATCTCTTAAATATACTGGATTAGAACATAGTTATTATCAAATCAATAGTTGGCAGCACGAAACAACGACAAAAAGTAGATTTTTTAAAATTAATTAGTCATTTCTTCAACATCGAAATCTAGTTCATCATCATCATCTACTGAGTCTTCTTCGAGTTGTTCTGTGCAAACATTGGATTTTTTGAACGTTTCCTTGATATTGTAAACGTCGTTGAGGGTGTGGGCGTGAGTGGTCTGGATGTGGGTGAGTGTGTATTGATGTGGATATGTGAATTTCTATTTAGGCACTCACTTCCATACCCACACCCGCCACATGGGGTTGGTTGCAATTTCATTGTCATTTTATGATGATGAATTTGAATAAAGCCATCTGATGAGACTCTTGAGCATGGTCAAAACCGGTCATGGCTATTTATTCTGGATGTGAGTGTCTCTGCTCTCAAAATACACCTACACCCTCATGAGATTCCTCAATACTGGCTTGCTGAGAAAAAAGGTTTTCTTAATTCCGACGACAAGCTATTTTTTATCTCTAATAACGACACTGCACTATGTTAAGCTATGAGTGAAAATAGGTTCTTTACATCAAGATAACCACGGCTGTCGCCAGGAGGTCAAGATTGGGAGGAATCGAAAAGTTTTTTGAAAATTTTATAAAAGCTCCTGGAAACCATTGTGTTTTTCGAAAAACTTTTGCAGATTTTTCCGAAACTTTGGAAGATTTTTGAAAAATTTTGATCATTTTTAGAAAAATTTTAAAAAACGTCGAGCAAAAAATACAAAATTTCTTAAGATTGGGGAGGTGACCCCGATAGTCTTAGCAGCCCTGAAGATAACCGGCATTGGAGTGTTTTTGACTGAAATTCGAAGGGATCGACACGATCAGGAATCATCGACCTATTTCGGCAAAAAATGACAATTTTTGTATTCTGTCATTATCTGAGAAAAAATATTTCAATTGCGCTTATTCTTGTGAAAAACACATGTTTTTGCTCTTCGACTTAGCATAGTGTAGTGTCGTTATTAGAGATGAAAAACATAGCTTGCCATCGCAATTAAGAAAATTTTACCATCAACAAGTCAATTTGAGGAAACTCATGCTCCGAACTTCATCAAAGTGAAGCAGTTGCTGCGTGAACCGCTAGATGAATATAGATCTCGACCCAAGCTTCAATGTTGCTAGCAATATTTTTTTATCTGCATAAAAAGATTGCAAAACAACTTTTTTCTAAAAGCTTCTTGTTTTTGTTTTGATTTCCATAGAACGTCGTTATTAGGATACCCAATTCACATTGGGAGTCGTTACTAGGGAATCACATCTGAATAATGAGGCAATCACATTGAATTTCGTATCGCTTCTGACTTAAGACAAGTATTTTGGAGATAGTTTCTTCATCATTTGACAGAGTCATCTTCAGATAGTGTGATATAGCGGTGTACGAAATCAACAAGGCCGATGACTAATTTTGCCGCGTTATCAGGAAAAATGACTCTATGACACTACGAAACTCGAAAGCTCTCATCGATTACTAATGAGAGCTCTAGTCCAACGTAGTCATAGGCGTGATATTCAAAATACTTTTCTAACAGTCTCATTCTAGTAACGGCAAGTTGTCAGCCGCGCTGGACAACTCTACTCTGATACCTTGTAAAGGGCAGAGGATGAAGCGAAGAAAGAAAGAAAGAAACATGTTTGAAAGCTGCTTTATCATTGTCATGGGTGAACTTTAT